CCTTTAATCCCAGCACTGGGGAGGCAGAGGCAGGAGAATCTCTGAGAGTTTGAGGCCAGCCTGGTCTACAAAGCTACACAGAGAAACCCTGTCTTGAAAAAAAAACCTTCCTTCACATTGAAGACTGGACCAATTAACTGGCCGCTCAAATCTCAGGTGGACAGCCATTGGTCTTGTATCCTTTCCTCCCTTGACTTCTGCCCAGCAATCTCCCCGGAACCCCCACTTTTCCCCACTTAGACTCTACGCCCAGAAACAGGCAGGAAGGACCCCCCCAGTTCTGGGATGGACCATCTCTTTCAGGCTATTCTGCCTCTGCAGGCTCAAGTTCAAGAGGAGATGTCCGTGGTCTATGCTAGGAAAAGCTTTCTGGATCTAGGAATGTGGGCATTGATGGGACCTGTGGGGGAACATGTACCACAGACAAGAGCATAAATAAAGGCAAAGGCATAACAGGCTCTCAGCTGAGGGAGAAGGACCGAGAGATTCTAGGAGTGGAAGCCATGCAGTCCCCTTTTTAGCCTTCATTTTCCCCTTTATTTCTGCGCTAGGCTGGAAAGTAACCTCCCTCAGGAAAGGTGGGGGATGCCAGTTTTCTCAGACCACCTTTGTTCCCTCCCACAAGCTCTTTGCCCATCTGCAGTGTGGGATGGCAGCAGAAGTGTCCCAGCTGACACTTTCAGTTCCACATCCTATGCTTGGAATTACCTGGACAACCTGGTAAAAATACAGCTTGTTTGGCTCTGTGATGAGCTTCTATTTAAGACGGTTTGGCATAGTGACGGATTCTTATTTTTAAAAAGCTCTGCAGGTAACTTGGACATGCAGTCAGTTTGGGAAAACGTCCAGCACACAGTGACCGCCATACCTTGATCTAGGTTCACTCTGTCTTTCTATTTTAGAAAACTCAGAGACAGGTCGTGTGATAGGGCTCTCTAGGGGAACCAAACAGATAGAATGAATGTATGTTAAAGAGGATGCTTAACAGATTGATTTATACTACTGTCTGGGGTGTCCAGCAATGACTGTCTTCACCCTGGAGAGGTTAAGAACCTGGTAGCTGCTGTCCACAAGCTGGAAAGAGTCCTCAGCATCCAAGTCTATCACTGATAGCCTAGAAGAGTCCAAAAGAGCCAGGTTGGGAGTCAGAATTATCTGAGGTCTGATATCAGCAAATATGTCAGTGGCAGTAACAGAGTAGATGAGCTCACCATCAAGACTTAAGGCAAGCAGGCAAAATGTCAAGATCTTTTGTCCCTCTGACCTCATTATAGCTGGATGGTTACTGTAAGTAACCAATCCCCTATGTGGTATGTCTACCCTGAGCTACCCACCTCTATGATGGATCTACCCACTTCAGTTAATGCCGTCAGGAAAATCCTGGGGCCAGAGAAAAGGCTGGAGGAGTAAAAATATTTGTCTTGAAACCCTGATGGCCTGGCAAGGTGGCAGTGGTATCAGTGGTAAACTTTATCCCAGTACTCGGGAGACAGTGGATCTCTGGGAGCTCAAGGCCAGCCTGGTCTACAAAGTGAGTTCCAGGACAGCAAGGGCTACACAGTGAAACCCTGTCTCAAAAATAAAGAAAGAGAGAGAGAGAGAGAGAGAGAGAGAGAAAGAGAGAGAGAAAAAGAGAGGGGGGAGGAAGGAGGGAGGGAGGGAAGAAGGGAAGGAGGGAAGGAAAGGCCTGAGTTCAGTTCTAGAACCCATGAGAAAAATGTAGGTGCAACTGCATGCATCTGTAGATCTATAGTCTCTCTCTCTCTCTCTCTCTCTCTCTCTCTCTCTCTCTCTCTCATGCACACACATACACACAATTAATAAAAAAGAAAAAGAAAAACCTTCATATATATTCTCACAGGCTAACCTCAATCTAGATATCTCCTCACAGGTGTGACCCTGAGTCTTATCTCTTAATTCCAGATCCAGTCAAGTCAAAAACTAAGATTAAGCATCAGAGAGGCTAGAGAGAGCTCAGCATCATTCCTGATCTCCTAGGGAACAAAAGTTCAGTTCCTGGCACCCACTTTGGGTGCCTACAATTGCCTATAACTCTAGCTGTTGAACATATGTCACCTGCTTCTGGCCATCTTGATACTACATACAACACATATGCATACACATAAAAAATAAAATAGCCAGCCTGGTCTGCAGAGTGAGTTCCAAGACAGCCAGAGATGTAACATAGAGAAACCCTGTCTCAAAAAAGTAACAACAATAATAAATAAATATAGATGAAATCTAAAAAACAAAGCACATCCCTAGCGTGGTAGTACATGCCTTTAATCCTAGAATACAGGAGGCAGAGGCAGGTGGATCTCTGTGAGTTTGAGAACAATGTGATCTATATAGAGAGTTCCAGAACAGGCTGAGCTACATAGTGAGACACTGTCTTAAGAAAAATAGGAGGAGGGGGCAAGAAAGAAAGAGAGACAGAGAGAGGGGGAGAGAGGGAGGGAAGGAGGAAGAGAGAGACAGGGAGGAACAGCCACTGCTACTCACTACTTTGTCACCTCCATAGAGGATAGAAAGATGAAAATTAAATTTTTCCTGGTGCCAAGATCTAGGTAAAAGATCCAAGACATCTTCTCTCCCAGTTTCCCCCAGTCATCTTCCAGGAATATCACCCTCTCGAAAGCAAGGACATCCCATGTCCTGCATAAGGTCTCAGCCTGTTGAAAAACCTGACTCAGGAGCTCAGTTATTCTCCCAGATCTTGTATCCAGTCCCTCTTCTCTGTAAACTATTCCAACAGCATCCCCATCTCAAACCCTCTCTATCTTCTCCTTCCCCCAAAGTAAGACCCAAATATTAAACTATGCAACGAAGACAACATACCTAGCAAAATCACTTTGGAAGAATCACAAATGGATGGCACAGTCCTCCACAAGGGCTGTCAGCCAGGCATGGTGGCACACTCCTTTAGACTCAGCACCCACTCGGGAGGCAGAGGCAGGTAGATATCTGAGCTCGAGGCCAGCAGGCATCATCAACCTCTGAGAAGCACGAGAACTGATGTCCAAAAGCCCCACAATTATAGTCTGAGTCTCCGGTAGTCACCAGAAAGTTTCAAAAGATTCAAAGAAATGGGGAAAATTATAGCTCACTCACAGGAAAAAATACAAAAAACACTGAAAAAGAGACCATCACTGAGAAAGCCCAGGCATCGGGCACACTGGAAGAGTTTACATTATTGTGTATTGTGACTTAACTATCTTCAGATGGCTGAAGGGAACTCTGAACAAAGAAATAAGGGAATTCTGAAAACTCATACAACCTTGAGAATAGGGAGTTTAGAAAGCAGTCTATGAAAATATTGAGAACAGCCAGAAATGGCACCTCACACCCTTAGCCCAACACTTGGGAGGCAGAAGACAAAGGCCTAACCCCAAGGCCGGTCTGGACTGCAGACAAGGTCAGGGTTCACTGGCCTGAGCTCTGCAGTGTGGTGACAGCTTAAAGACAGCAACAGAAGATAAGGGTGAGACTCCATGGTCTGTTAAAAAGTTGTACAAAAAAGGAAATGATGCCAATAAAGGCAGAGGTCAATGAAATAAAGAATAGACAGAACATGAGAAAAATAAAAGCTGGGTGTGGTGGCGCACACCTTTAATCCCAGAACTCCGGAGGCAGAGGCAGGTGGATCTCTGTGAGTTCAAAGCCAGCCTTGTCTACATATTTAGTTTCAGGATGGCCAGGGGTATATAGATTGACCCTGTCTCAAAAACTGTTTTTAATTAAAAAAAGTAAGAGTACAGGCAACTCTTCCAGAGGACCCAGACTCAATTATCAAAACATACTAGGTGACTCATAGCGGTCTGTAACTCCAGTTCCAGGGGATCTAACATCCTCTTCTGACTTCCATGAACACTGCACACACAAGTGCACATGTACAAAGGCAAAAATACCCAAGCACATGAAATAAAATAATAAAAAGTCATTGAAGTCAGAAAAGAAAGTAGACATTACTATTATTTGACATAAATAAAAAGGGTTGTAAGAAGGTCCCATAAGTCAGATATTGGAGCGCACACCTTTAATTCCAACACTTGGGAAGGAGAGGCATACAGTCCTCTAAGTCAAGGGTAGCCTGGTCTACAGAGCAAGTCCCAGGCCAGCCAGGGCTATGTAAAGAGACCCTGTGTCAAGAAAAATCCCAAAAGGAAATTAAGAAGACAATTACATTTATAACAGCATCAAGCAGAATACTTATAAATAAGCCTAATAATCATGTAGGTATAAGACTTGTACTTTGAGAATTATGAAATATTGCTAATTAAAGCAGGTCTGAATAAATAAGAAGATATCCCCTGTTCAGATTTGGCAGTCTGTATGAGAATCCCAAGGGGGAATAGGAAGGGAGAAACTGTATAATTATGATCTTAAAAAGCAAAAGGAATAATGAAAACAACAACAAAACGAAACTTAGGGCGGGCAGAGAGATGGCTCAGCACTTAGGGACAGATGCTGATCTTTCAGGAGACAAGGACTCAGTTCCCTGCACCCCTCACTCACCTCTCCACCCACGCATACATAAATCCGCCATTTAAACTTAAAAGCCAAAAAGCCAGAGGAAACCTTCACGGGGTTGGATACGGAATGCTTTTTTTAATGTGAGATTGTGATCTCAACATAGCAGGCCATAGGGGAGAGGGGAAAATTGGACTTCACAGAACTTCTCAGTTTTATGCACTCCCAACAGGAGACCTGTAGAATTCGAGGACACATTTGCACATCGCGTAGTAACAGGGATATATATATATATATATATATATATATATATATATATATATATATATATATGAAGAACTCTTAATTATTAGCTGGAAATCTGAGGAGCCCGCAGGACAGTGAAGAAGGACCAGGAAGAGATGAGGACAGAGGCAGGGGCTGTCTGACTGCATGCTGGAGCTCACTAACACCTCCCCACCAGACCCAACTCGCAGGAAAAGGAGGGGGAGCGAGGGAAGCCCAAGTGTCAGAATGCATAAATAGGCAGCGAGCCAGTCACAGCCCACACACAGACCCCGACTTGCGGCTGTCCATCTCACTCACAGCTCTGGTCTCATCCTCAACTCAACCACAACCATGGCTCAGACACTGGCTCTGAGCCTCCTCGCCCTGGTCCTGGCTCTCTGCATCCCCTGGATCCAAGGTACCAAAGAGGGAGAGGCTTTGGCTGGGAGAAGGGAGCTAAAGAGACACTTTCTTCCTAGCCGCCTCTGGTTCTATGTCCCCTTCCTTGCAGGCAGTGATGGCGGAGGTCAGGATTGCTGCCTCAAATACAGCCAGAGGAAGATTCCCTACAGTATTGTCCGAGGCTACAGGAAGCAAGAGCCAAGCTTAGGCTGTGCCCTCTCAGCGATCCTGTGAGTGAGCCAGAGGTTTGGGTGCAGGCTCCGGGTCGAGTCGGGGAGGCAATTGTGGGCCAGACTAAGAAAGCTTACTACACTCCAATTCTCAGGTTCTTACCCCGGAAGCGCTCTCAGCCTGAGCTATGTGCAAACCCTGACGAAGGCTGGGTGCAGAAGCTGATGAAGCGTCTGGACCAGCCTGCAGCCACAGGGAAGCAAAGCCCGGGCTGCAGGAAGAACAGGGGAACCTCTAAGTCTGGAAAGAAAGGAAGGGGCTCCAAAGGCTGCAAGAGGTGAGGATGCCGACGGGACGAGAAGCGGAGTAAAGACGAGCCTTTACTGTCTCTCACACCTCTCTCCTGCTCTCCCAGGACTGAACCCACACAGACCCCAAGAGGGCCCTAGCGCGGTGACCACCCTGGACCCCAGGAGATTCCCCGTTAACTTCATTATGGCTCCATGAGGGGCTAGGAAACAGGAAAGGCTCGGGAGCCCCAGAGCAGCCTTCTCTTGCTGGCCTTGTCACACCCTTGTCCTGCTTCAAGCGTCCTGTCTGCACGGTCATCCCTTTCTTGTACGGCTGAGCTGCCTTCCCTGGGCCAGACCCGGAGAGTCAGAAGGAGGAATGAAGAAGGAGACAGCAGGACTGTCCCCTCTAGGAGGTCACTCAGGTCCCAAGACCTGACCTTGCTCTCCGAGGTGCCTTACCCTTTTCCTTGCTAATATGATTTATATCTAATTGAATAAAACGCTGTTCCAGCCCTCAACCTGAATATCTGTTCCTGGGTGTTTGTGTTCGCAGACCGTCAATGTTATTTCAGAGTGAAGTCATATTTTCTGGGTCCCAGGTGACAGCTCAGACCATGAGCCCTACATTCCTACCAACTCCAATAGTTTCTTTGTCCCCAGGGTTCTGGGACCCTTGATAGGCAAAGGGAGGCTAATGGGCAGGTGGGCCAAGGTCTCTGAGGAAACTGCTAATGGAAAGACCCAGCCATGAGTGGGAACACACACACACACACACACACACACTTGCAAAGACACACTCACACACACTTGCAAACACACTCACACACTCACACACTCCACGACCCTGCAGGCCTTTGAGGCCTCCCTCCCCCTCATTCTGTTCAGCACACTTACTCCAGGAGGGAAAAGCCTGTTTCTTAGAACCCCACAACACTGATCCCCTCAAAATCACAGAGGGTCCTCTCCCGGCTACTTAATGTAGCTGTCCTGTCGACCTCTTTGGTTTCCTGGAGCTCTTGGGATTTCTTCCTATGGAAGTCTGGTCCCTTGCATCCCTTAGCTTGCTTCCAGCCAGGAAAACCTGCTCCCTTTTTCCCCTCTCTCTCCTGTGGCCAGGACCTACAGTGCCAGGCTCCTCTAATCTCCTTTACTGTGGTTAGCACACATGTGTGCACGTGTGTGCCTGTGTTAAGTATTTGCATTTGTGGGGAACATGAAGAGGCCAGAGGAGAACATCGTCTGTCTTCCTCTATAACTCTCCACCTTGTAATCCCAGGCTTTTACATGGGTGCCTGGGGATTTGAACCCAGGTCCTTTTGATTTCACGGCAAGGGCATTTACCCACTGAGTCATCTCCTCAACTGTCTCCTCTAGTTTCTTGAAACCAAGGAACAAGCCTCCCGGGACAGGTCTTGGGAAGCCCAGGACTCAAACATAAATCCATCTTCCCTTCAAGGCTTCCCTCTACCTCAGAGCACAGACCCCCCCCCCAAATCCCCAGGCAAGGGCAAAGAAAACCACTGATGAGACATGACAGTGTAAGAAGCAGGGGACAGACCCTGGAGGGAAGATGAGAAAGGCAGGGACCTAGGCAGGGAGTGAGGGCTGTAGCAATGCCCTTTCCACAGAGCCTGCGCTGGCCACACCACTTACAAAATCGTCCAAGTGTCTGCATCGGCCCCTGGCTCCTCTTGGGGCTGGTGAAGACAAGGCGGTCTACTAATCTTTGTGCAACCAAGGGTGATCTCAGCCTGTAAACTCACATGTGCACAGCATGTTCACTGCATTATAGAATGTCTATTTAATTAATGTCATTCCTACTCCAATCTCCTACACCGGAGTGCTAGCAAAACAAAACAAAACAAAACAAAACAAAACAAAACTTAGCATCAAATTCTCACTCACAGGGAATCCCATCTCTCAAAGGCTGCATAGATTTCTTAGAACACTAAGCCCTGGTGAGGCCTCCTCCCTGAACCCACCCACAAACCCCTACAAACATGCCATCTTGGGACACTGCCAGGGAAAACTGACCCCTGTGGTCCCCTCAGGTTATACCTCTTCAAATCTATGCCAAATTTGAGACTTGGGAATTCTGACACTTGAGCCTCTGAAATCAGACCTAAGTACCTCACCACACCCCTGAAGCCATCTGCCTGTCATTTCCCTAGCTTCCAGGAATTGAAGCCCAGTGTCCACAGCCACTAGACCTACAAAACAGTCTCCTCCACGGTCTAAAGAAGTCTGTCCCTCCAGAGCTCAATCTCCTCTCAGGCTGAGTCAGATGTTTACAAAAGGCAAAAGGGCCTTAAACATCTAGAAGTTTCTATTCTCAGCCCTGCCCAAACTCATATCTGCTCTAAGGTGAGAGGAAAATCAGGCAGAAGCAAAACCTAGCCAGGCCTATTGGTGCAGGACTGTAATCCCAGCTACTTGGGAGGTTGAGATGGGGGGGGGGTCCCACACTAACAGCCTACCCCGATATAAAGCAAGCGCAAGGTTAGCCTAGGGAACACTCTCAACTTTTTTTTAAAAATTCTTTTAAGTATGAACCATGGCTGGGGCTATAGCTGAGTGGCGGCAGAAGGCTTGTTTAGAACGTGAGAAGAGAAAAGCAAGATCTCACAGTTTGCCACACCTGAGTGACTGGTGTCTGCCTGGAGCCCTGCTCTCAACAAACACGCAGTCACTTATTGTTTCTTCAGAGAAGGCGGGATCACTTTCCTTGCCCATTTTGTTCCTTAACAATGTCGTTCTGTTCTTCCTTATTCCCAAAAATTATATTTTTAAACCATGTAAACATACTCATGGCTTAAAAAAACATTTTTTTCTAACAAGAAAGTACCAGAATCTTGTTCTGAACAATACCAGCCCCCACAACTTCTAACTCTTAAGATAGTTCTTCTGGGAGTCTGCTTCTCATTTCCAAATCCTTGTAACTGTCTCTTGATTCATGCTGAGCACATTATCAATAGACTTCTTACCATAAAAAGTGGAGATTTAAGCCAGGCATTGATGGCACATGCCTTTATCCCAGAACTCTGGGGGTAGAGGCAGGCAGAGCTCTGTGAGTTCCAGGCCTGGTCTACAGAGCAAGTTCCAGGCCAGCCTCCAAAACAATACAGGGAAACCCATTCTCGAAAACCAAAAAAAAAAAAGTAGAGATTTAGCTCTCTTACCAATTCTCCTGTCGCTACACCTTCTCCAGTAATTACCACGACCCTTATATTTCATCATGATCTATTTATATTATTATGATTATGCAAATATTCCTTCATTGAAGAACAAGGAATGAAGTGTACACAGTTCTCCTTTGTCATTCAATTTTCCTTTTTATTTCTTTTCAAGCTATATTGGAGGTTGAATCTAGAACGGCATGTAAGAACTCTGTTACAATACTCTACTAGCCCCAGCCCCAGCCTTTTGTTTTCCTTTTACTTAAGATGTATGTGTATGCATTTGTACACATGCACACAATGTCCAAGAAGCCCAAAAGAAGGCATTCATACCCTGAGGCTACAGGCAGTTGTAAGTTTCTTCTTGCCCTCTTTGACCTGTATGGACCATAACTCACGCTCACACACACACACACAGACACACACACACACACAGAGAGACACACACACACACACAGAGACACAGATGTATACATTAAAAAATAAATCTTCTTTTAAAGGTAACATTTAAAAACCAGCCTGCTGGTTGGAAAAGTAAACACTTCAGCAAAGACTAGCACAAACCATAGGAAACTATAAAGCTGAAGAATTTCTCCGATCTTTGTCCTGCACACAACAACAGTATTTATTTCACTGGATACTTTTTGTCAATGGGCAAAAGAAAACAGTTCATAGATTCTGCTATAAACATAAAAGAAAACAATAATTAAAGTTTCTCCAAAATTTACAGAGTTGTCCTCTAAACATGAGAACACTGTAATCGCTGGAATCATGTGTTTCCTTCTAGCTCTAAAGCTCTGAAGTACTAAAGTACCTTACTTGTTGGATTATTTATTTATTCATTCATTCATTCATTCATTCATTTATTCATTTGGGGGGCACACCTCTGCCAGAACACCACATCAAGCATCCTTTTTCTAGCCACCTACTCCTTTGACATTCTCCCTGAACCTGGGGCTCACGTTTTCTTGGCCAGCCTGGAAGAAGCAGTTTGGGCAGTTTCCTGAGATACCCAGCTTGTTACGTGCGTACAAGGATCAGAACTCCAGTCCTCAATATTGAGTAGCAAACACTCTTTTTTTTTTTTTTTTTTTTTTGGTTTTTACGAGACAGGGTTTCTCTGTATTGTTTTGGAAGCTATCGGTCCAGCCCAGCCTCGAACTCACAGAGATCCACCTGCCTCTGCCTCCCGAGTGCTGGGATTAAAGGCGTGCGCCACCACCGCCCAGCAAGTAGCAAACACTCTTAACTGCTGAGTCATTCCTTAGCTGAGTCATCACTCAGGGCCATTCATTAAGTTACTAATGCCATATATTTAAATTACTTTATATATATTTAAATTACTTCACCACTCTCTCTTCCATGAAAGGAACACACAGATGTGCATGCATACACACCACACACACACACACACACACACACACACACATGACCAGCTCTCTGTTGTTAAGAGTTGCTACAGAATATGATTATTCTTGTGTCCCTTGGTTCTCTCCTTTGTGTGTGTGTGTGTGTGTGTGTGTGTGTGTGTGTGTGTGTGTGTGTGTGTATGTGTAGCTTTGGAGTCTGTCAGAAACTCACTCTGTAGAGCAGGCTGGTCTCGAACTCACAGAGATCTGCCTGCCTCTGCCTCCCGAGTGCTGGGATTAAAGCTGTGTGACACCACTGCCTGGCTGGTTCACTCCTTTCTTATCAGTCCTTTAACGTCTTTAGAGCCGGTCCCGAGGCCTTCACAAGGTCAAGCGCATACCTGAAAGCAAATTCCAAGGTAAGAAGCCAGGTTTCTTGCATGTATATCTGTGTGAGGGTGTCAGATCCCTTGGAACTGGGGTTACAGACAGTTGTGAGCTGTCATGTGGGTGCTGGGAATTGAACCCGGGTCCTCTGGTAGAGCAGCCTGTGCCCTTAACTGCTGAGGCATCTCTCCAGGCCAAGAAGCCAGGTTTCTTAACCACCCTCAGTCTGTGATGTCTAGCTAGCCACAATTTCACACTTCTATAGTATGTATTTATTTTGTGAGTGTGGCATGTGCCTTCAGAAACCAGAAGAAGGCAGGAGTTATAGTTGTGAGCCCTCCCTTCACCATCATGGGTATCGAGGAAACCCAGCTCAGATCTTCTGCTGGAGCAACCAGAGCTTTTGACCGCTAAGCCATCCCTCCAGGATACAGAGATGGTTATCTAAACATCTTCAAGACTACTGTGTTTCTCCCTTGGCAGCAAACTAAAACACCCCCAGAACAACTCTGTTGATCCTGCTAATTTTGTTTTATATACATTAATTGTGATAGTAACATAATTCAGCCCAGTATTAAGAGACTAAGCGGACCCATCTCTGTACAGTGGTTT